AGAATTTTACCTGTGAAGACACAAGATTGAGGTAAATTGCTTTAGTGGATTTCAGGGAGGAAAAGGATAGGTGGAGAATACCTTTGGAGAAAGGAAGTGGGGGGGGAAAGGCTGGGGGAGAGGAGAGGGAGAGGGAGAGGGAAAGGGAGAGGGAGAAGGAGTAGGAGAGGGAGAGGGAGAAGAAGAGAGAGGGAGAGGGAGAAGAAGAGGGAGGGAGAGGGAGAGAGGGAGAGAGGGAGAGAGGGAGAGAGGGAGAGAGGGAGAGGGAGAGGGAGAGTCTATTAAAGCTGTAGTGTATCAAATCTCCAGGTCTGGAGAGAAAAATCTAAACAAATGTGTAGCCATGTCTTTGAGAGCTGAAACCCAAGTCAGGAAGGAGTCTCTGCTCTCATCCTTTGCAAAGAGCTGCCTCTGGACCTCCTTGAGTAGAGAATTAATGAGGGGAGTGTATCCTGCCTGGTGTGCCTATGAAATCGGCTCCTGAAGGAAGGTTGGTTGCCCAGTCTTAAACATTGGAATTTCTAGAATGAGAGTGTGGAGCACTTCTGTAATGTCACCGCAATGAAAAGCACCCAGAACTATGCGGACCTAGGTTCCAGTCCCAGGTGTCACAGAGCAGTTGCGTGGCATATGGATATGCCCCTGAAGTCTACAGTCTATGTCCTCTCTTAGATGCTGTCCTGGGGCGACTGCCCCTCTGCTGATTCCTATGGCCTGGGAGTTGGCATTAAATCCCTAGAGCTGAAGACCAGGCCTCAGGGAGGAGGGGCAGTAGCTTACTGGGATGTACCCCACTTTCCCTGTCTGGTTTCCTTAGTCACACTCTCTAGAGGTACACATCATATGCTTCAGCCTTGATTGTTCATAAGGGTGCTTCTCCTTGAGACTCCCAGGGTCTTTCTTGTTGGCTTTCAGAGCCTAGCATGCAGACACTCTGGATATGGCCGGCCACCACAAAGACTATTGTTTTTACTTCAGTGTTTACAAAGCTTCTAGCAGTACCATGAAAAGACTGAGAGCTTCCTCCATCCAGTCCTTCCTGCTCTCCTTGTCACCCTCGTTCTCTCCCTTTTCTGTCTCTCTCTACCTTTTTTGTTTTTTCATCTGTTCAATCATTTTGTTATAATTTTATTTATTGATTAATTTATGTTTCGGGATTTTCAGAGACAAGATTCTCTTGTAAGCCAAACTGGCCTCAAACTCATGTTGTAGTTAAGGATGGCCTCAGCCTTCTTGCATCTACCACCTAAGTGCTTGGGTTACAGGGTTCTAGCACACCCAGCTTCCTTCTTGGTCAAACAAGGGCATAACGACATCTTATTACCATATCCCTGGAACTGGAATGACAGATGGTTGTGAGCCACCATGTGGGTGATGGGAGTTGAACCCAGGCCTTCAGCGAGAGCAGTCAATGTTCTTAACTGCTGGGTCATCTATCCAGCCCAGCACCTTTTATTTGGTGCTGGGCATGCAGCTGGCATTAGATGCCATTGTCCACAGGTGTGAAGCTGTCAAAGCACAAAGCAATGAAAAAGAAACGCCGTCTCCTGTGAGGGCCCAGCCTGAGGCCCAGCATAGACAGGTGTTTGACCAGCACGTGTGATGCTCACGCTCATTTCCCTGTGGAAATGTTGGCACAGAGACAAGATAATTCTATTACAATTTCTATCTTTAAAGGAAATACAATTTTAATTTAAAAGCTAGTGCATACTGTTGAAAATTCAGAACACACTGACTCCTTATCTTCATGGCCAGTTCTGTTGGGAGGCACCCTTGCAGCAAGTTTACAGGGATGATGACAGTCTTTTGTAGAACATGCAAACAACTAAAGATGTTAAACCAGTCTGCAGACATGGGAGCCCATGGCATAGACTACAGTCTGGACATGTCCACCCTGCTCTGCAGAATGAGAACAATGACAAGCTTAGCTATGGACCCCTGTGCTCCAGTCTGAGCTGAATCCTGTCTTAACATGGCCCTGGGTCCATTGGTGTGACCACTTCTAGGGCCCCTGTCTGGTCTCTTATAGTCCTGGATGCTGGTCTAACCCCTGTTTTCCAGGAACTTTCTCTAGTGTCAAAGTGTATGGGGTCAGAAAGGTCATGCTCACATCTGGATCATTACATCTGTATCACCAATATTGATATATTGAAACTTTATTCCTTTGAGTCACTATGAGAAACAGCTTCCAGACTGGCCCTCTTCTCCCCTGCCCCGTTCTTGGTCTTCTTGAGGCCATAATGTGCTCCCCCCCACCTCTGCCATTTCCAGATGCATTTTCTGGACTCAGATGTGACAGCTCTTCAGTGACCTTGAACTCAAGTCTCACGATTCTCCAAGGCTGCACACTTACCTAGAATGCCTCCTTCAGGGAGACATCCTTCTCAGTCATTTTTGCCGATCTAAATGCTACCATGGCAAAACCTTGTGAGGATATGCACTTGCTCCCCTGTTTTCTGCATCTGAACCTCATGGTAAGCTGTAATCATCTGTTATCACAGCTGCCCCCCTCCCAGAAGACCACAGGTCTGGGGAAGACCCTGATCTCCAGGTCTAGCACGTAGTAGGTTTGCAGTGTCGTCTGGAGAACCACTAGTGCTTATAGAAGAAATCTTTGGCTCATGTGAAATGAAATAGCCTCTGGGCTACTGAGATTTTGGGATTTTGCTCAAAATAATAAAGTTGAAGGGGAAACCTTGCTCGACCTGTTGGAATGCACAATGATAGATTTCATCGCTCACTCGGTTCTCAGTGCCATATGGCTTTCCCTCCCCGGACTGCTCTGTTGAGAATTACTTTTGCAGGTAATTTCCTAATGATTGCCTTGGGATAAACAAATTTATCAGACTTGTTTGGCTAATGTATTCAAGGAAGATCACAGGGGAAAAGTTTAATCATCGAAGAAGCCAGCCGGTGTCTGTCATGAGAGGAAGGGTCCAGAGCTGACGGGTGCCGAGCTGTGGTTGCTATGACTGCACGTACTTTCCGATCCCTTTGTGAGGTCAACTGCCGCTCCCAAGCTGATTGGCTAAAATGAGATTACCCTGCTGGCCAACCATGGGGAGTTAATTTCATCAGAAAGAGAAGGACGGTGGGAAACCCTGTCACGATGCTACAGAGGAATTTTCCTCAGCAATCCACAGAGTCCACGTTTGCTTTTATTAAATTGATATGTTCTGTCTAATGAAACAATGTAAGGAGACAGACAGTGGCATTAGTCTGTTTTGTACAGCCATGGGAACTTTAGTCTGCTTTTGTCAGGAAACTGACTCTCAGAGTTAACCTTTATTTTCCTGTAATGCATCCACATAGCTAAATGCTATCGTCACATGCATTTATATAATTGGAGATGGGTGGCTGTGGAAGGCACAAAGGAGCTGGCACAATGGCAGCTATCTGCTTGCAAGGCTTCAGCCCAAGGGACACAATGGGCACAGAAACTTTACACAGAACTACTGATTGCTGGACTGGAGACATCCGTGTGGTGGAACGAAGAGCCCCATGTTGCACAAGAATCTCCCTAGAAGTCTTCACCATCACCCCATTCTCCACTTGGCATAGTCTTTGTTCTAGGAATTAATCACATGGCTTCACTGGTTATGTTTTAATTCTGCGCAGGGAAGACATGGAGGGAGCTTGGCTTGAAAACAGAGAGAATATCAATCTGCTTGCTCCAGTGGCTGGTGAAGCTAGGTGGGTGAATATGAAAGCATCACCAACATGAGTTCTAAACATGAGCTGAACAGGGATGATGTAGGCATTGAAGCTCAGATGGAAAGGCATCCTGGCATTCGGAAGCCAAGAAATACTACAGAGTCACTGTGAGCATTCTCACAGCTCTGCTCCAGGGAAAGGTTTCCCCACTGCAAGTGTCGTAACTCTGCTGGGGCAGGGGAGGGTTTCCCCAGCGCAGTTGTTACAGCACTGCTCAGCTCTGCTCTGGAGAAGTGTTACAGCTCTGCTCAGGTCCCCAGAGTGTAACCACTCTGTCTGCTAGGGGAAAGTTTCCCCAGCAAAAGTGTTACAGAGCTGCTCTATTCTGCTCCCGCTCTGGTGACAGTTGTTCCAGCTGGGCTCATTCTAGTGAAACTGTCACATTGCACAACAAACCTCACTCAAGAGGTTCATTGGGAAGAAAGAACCCAGGATGGTGGCTGCCTCTAGGGTGAGAAGCAGCAGTTAACTGAACAGGGTATGGAGTTTATATGGGTTTCTTGGGCAGGGGGTGGCTTCCAGGGTAGCCTAGGACTGGTGGATTTTTTTTTTATTGAGCTATATATCTTTTTCTTCACTCCCCTTTTTCCTCCCCCCTACCCTTCTATCCCCCCACCCCCATGCTTCTAATTTACTCAGGAGATCTTGTATTTTTACCTTTCTTAGGCAGATCCATGTCTCTATTAGGGTCCTCTTTGTTATCTAGGTTTTCTGGGGTTGTGGATTGTAGGCTGGTTATTCTTGGCTTTATATCTAATGTCCACTTATGAGTGAGTACATATGATATTTGTCTTTCTGAGTCTGGGTTACCTCACTCAGTATGTTTTTTTTTTCTAATTCCACCCATTTGCCTGCAAATTTCAAGATGTCATTGTTTTTTTTTACTGTTGAGTAGTACTCCATTATGTAAATGTACCATATTTCCCTTATCCATTCTTTGGTTGTTTCCAGGTTCCAGGCTATTACAAATAATGCTGACTGAGAGGTGGATTTTTGAGGCAAGCTTGGGACTGGTGGGAATTTGTGCTCAGGGCCCTCAGTGTTTGGTGGGATTCTGAAGACTAACTCTGGGGCAAGCTCAGAGACTGGTGGGACTTCAAGTCCTGGCCCTGGGGTCAAGGCAGGGCCAGGGTGTTTGTCCTTGGCCCAGGCCTCGGGTCTAGTCAGGAGCAGAGTGATTTTCCTTGGCCCTTTTCACTCTATTGACAACACCAATAGACAAGCTAAGGTGTATGGGCGAAAGCTTAGGAGACCTGAGTCCTGCACAAAGAACTCCAAGAAACTAAGGAATGTTGACAGTGGGAGAAATTGTCTTTCCCAGGAATGAGCATACCTATTGGTCATCCAATACCAAAGATTAACCCTGAAAACATATATACAAGTAACATTATCCAGACTAAGGAGGTTGTATTTATTAAGTTGATAAGAACAGATACTACACTTTATCTTAGTCAAAAAGCCGAGACGCATTTAAGAGGTTGTATTTATGTATTTAAGGATATGCACACTCACACACACACACACACACTCACACACACGCACACACACTCATACTCATGAATATAATAACATTAACAACAAAAAAAGGAGGTCGTGAACTTGAAAGAGAGAAAGGAAGAGTACATGAGAGGATTTGTAGAGAAGAAAGGGAAAAGGGAAATAATGTAATTATAATCTCAATTTTTTTTAAAGCTAACTGGGTAGAAAATGAAAACTAAGAACGCCCAACTCAGGGCTTGTTTCATTAGTTTTTATTGGAGTATAAAAAATTGATTGAAGGAGCCAATGAAGAGATATTGTTGGTTGAGTTCTGGACACTTTTTATGTTTCTTAGCCATATGTTTTCCCATTTATTAGACTTTAAAAAATCAAATCATTCTGCTGAGGTACAACAGGCTGTTGGCTGAAGGTCCACCCCTGGAGGGGGACCTGAGAGGTGTTTTCCTGAGACCTGTGTTGTGGGTTTGGGACCTATGTACATGTAAGAGAAGTAGGGATCTGGGATGCATAGACAGCTTGCTAAGGGAGCCTGTTAAGCAGGAAGCTCTGGGAGCCCTAGGAGAAGAGAGCAAGAGGATTGCAGGCTGAGTGATTCGACCAGGTCTTTCTCACATCGGGAGGAGGAGCAGGGCGGAACAAACACAGACAAGGTAGTGCAGTGCATGAGGCACCAGTGCCTTGGGCATGCCAAGGTGTTGATCTTACCTGTTTCAATCTCAGCCCCCACTTGTCCTTGGAATCTCCTATGAGACCAGGTTTCTTATTTCTTACTATCACATCCTCTAATGACTGCACAGCAGCTAGAAACTGGGAGGCCAGGGCTCCAGCTCATTTCCTGGTGGTATTCTCTGTAGGATATGGACATGTGGGTCATAGCTGTTCTCACAAAGGCCTTCTTGGCTACTTTTTTCAATTGCTAGGTGGTTATATAAACCTAATCACTTCAAAAGCATTTCAAGTGATGATATCTCTCACTAACATTATCTCCTAGGCCTACTCATTTCAAATTTCGGAAATATTTTTTGTGACTCTTCTTTCTGTGTCCTTCAGGGGGTTTTCCTAGTGTCAATTCCCAATGGTGAGAAGGAATGCTCTGAGAAGCTGTGCTGGTAGAATCTCAGGGTACTTGGCTGACTGTGTTCACATCCTGAGAGGGCCCTAGGAAATCAAAATAAGATAGGAGAGCCTGGTAGCCAATGACAGGTTGCCAGGTTGGAATTTCTCATGTCTTTGTTTTTTGTTCTGTAGTTGGACATGGACCCAAGCCTCTCTCATCCCTAACATGCACTCTGCCACTGAACTATAGCTTGTTTCTCCTCCACGCTCCTGTAGAACCCTGTCTTTTGGGTGTGACATGGCCATTGTTCTCTTGAATGCTCAGTCCCTGTGATTACCCACAAGAGGCCCAGCTCATGTTTCTTGGGAATAGTGTGGGATTATGGGAATAGATGTTGAACTTCAATTTTGGTAGCCTAACAATAAAACCAGCTTGTCTTGAGGCTTATTATCTGGTCATGCTTGCTAAGTATTTAGTTCAATGGTCAGCATAAGGATACCATTTATTTATTTACTTGATGTGTGTGTGTGTGTGTGTGTGTGTGTGTGGTGTGCACACATGCATCATGACACGTGTATGAAGGTCAGAGGAGAGCTTTCAGCTGTCCATTCTCTACTTTCATTGACTGGGTTCTAGGGATCAGTCTTATGTTCAGTTCTTTACCTGTGGGCGCATCTCATCAGCTTAGAAACACCATTTATATTGAACCACAGTTGGTGAAGCAAGACCTGCCCTAACCCCCACCAGAGGAGGGGAAGGGGAAAGGAACAGCGTTATGGATGAAAGAGACAGCACCATGAAGATGAACCTGTTTTTAGGTCTGGGCTGATGCTGTCCGGTGTAGAAGCAGCATGAAGAGGCCAAAGGGAGTTCAGTGTTAACAGGTTGCAGGGCAGATGGAAGTCCTGGGTGGGAAGCACACTTGTGTGGAAGAGCTGAGGCTCTATTAGCAAGCCAGGGCTCCAAGGCCGCTAAGAGATGCTCTCTGTCAGGCTGCCCACACAGCTTCTGCCACAGGTATGGAAGGCTATGCTGCTAGGGAGAAACTGAGGAGCCTTGGAAAAGACAGATGCAAGATCATTGACAAAAGCTGAGGATTATTAACCACACAGAGTAGGACACACTGTTGGCTATGCACGAGACTTCACAAGATGAAGGGTTCAGGGCTTGAACCCTGCTGTGGCCCAGTGATTGGCAGATAGACACACAGATTGTGCTGCCACCATGTGACAGCAGCTCAGGCCCCTGGGTGTGGGTCACCAACTTCTGCCCAATGTGAGCAAGACCCTACAGGGTGCTGGGCAAAGAGTCCCCAGCACTGAACTGTCACCTCTGCGTGCCTACAGGTAGTGTACCTTGGTGGCATTGACATGGTGGATGAAATAAAATGAATAACACACTTTCCAGTTGTATTTTCTCTAGACAAGAGATATTTGAAAATCCCCATTCTTTCTGTGTTACAGCTTATCAGGAAACTCTGATAAGCTCTCAGTTGTACGGTTATTGTTCATTTTATTTCCTGAGCTATTCAAAGACAAGGGTATGCTTTTTCTTTTTGATTTCTCTAGTTCTAATGGGAAAATATCATTGAGAAAGAAATAGAATGAATTCCTCTGCCCTTAGCTACCCATTTCCCAGTCATTGGTGATCAGAATTGCTTCACCAGCCTCAATGCCTTTTGTGGACAAACACTAATGAACTGTCTTATGCTTCCTACTTTGCATGTAGTGATATGTAGTAAAGTTTTTTGTTTTGCTTTTTTTTCATAATCTATGAATTTCTTCAGTGTATAGCTACATGGTATTTCATTCTATTTTAAAATCATAATTTAAATCTCAAGTGTTAAATATTTATCTTGTTTTCACTACGTGGTATGAAACAGTATGTTAATGAATTACCTTATCTATAAATGTTTTGCATGTGTGCCTGCTAAAGTTCCCGATAGAATTTTGGGTCAAGGATGCATGTATTTGTAGTTTTGACAGACACTCTCAAATGACCTCCTTGGACGGACGTGTCAGTTGACATAGCTCCTGCCACCTAGTGCGCCCCCAGCCAGCGGTGTGCTCCTTGTTATCAGAGGCTCTGTTCTGTGATGGGGAGGTCAGCTCTCTCCGTGAGTACAGTGTGTTTGTTCCCTGACAGTGTCCTCAGAGAGCGTGCCTTCCTGCCTCCTCCTTCCTCCTTGAGGCAGTGGAATGTGTGTGTGTGTGTGGGGGGTGTGTGTGTATGGTGTGGGGTATATATGTGTGTGGGGGTGTGTGTGTGTGGGTATATGTATGTGGTGTGGGGTGTGGAATGTGTGTGTGTGATATGTATTATGTATGTGGTGTATGTGTGTCTGTGTGTGTATGTGTCTGTGATAGAAGTGGTAGGTAGCTCCCTAAATTGGGAAATGCTGGCTGGCCTTTCTCACCCAGATACATAATCTGTCAACTTTTGATTTTTGAAAATTCCACAATTGAGTTCATTCCTTTGCTTAACATTTGTCTCAACAAAACATAACTAATTGAGTCTTATCAGTCATTTGTACCATGTTATGAATTATTTCTTCCGTAAGCAGTCCTGCCATGTAGAAAATCAGAGACAGGGGTGGGGTTGGGAGAGGGGAGAAAATGACTTTAGTATGAAGATTAGAGGAAATACAAACTGCTTCGTGCTTGGGAGTTTTGGTCACTCTGCCTGCAGAGAGGTCCCTGTGAAGAGGGTCTCCCCTGGCCATTCTCCTGCTTGGTACACTTCTAAGGTCTTCAGAATTTTAGGGTGAGTGTTCACTTGGAGTTTACCTTTTCACAGCCTGGCTTTTCTAGTGTTCAGAGCCTGCGCTCGGAGGTCCTGGCTTTCAGAGCCACAGCCGCAGTATCTGCCTATGAGTGGGTGTCTGTCATCCCTGGTTGGGCACATGTGCCCAGCTCGGAAAACTTTCCTATTGCCTGTGAGCATGACGGCTGGTTAGCTCTGTGTTGACTCTTTCAGGCACCTTTTTGCCACTTTTCCTAATTTAAGGTTCTCTAAGTTAAAATGCCAAGGACATCCCTACTGATGATGTCCTTGGTGTCACATTGGCCCTTTAATGCCACGGCTGCTGTTTTCCTTCCTTCCTGTAAACTGCTTGCTCATGGACACTCTCCTTTTTTGATTTTCCTTTTTTTTAAAGCTTCTGATGCAAATTTGCAGCCCCTAAAATGCGTTTGAATGCTGAGTAGATTGTTAATAGCCTGTTAATAGTTACCAGCTTTTAACTGAACACTAGTGATAAAGAATAAAGGTTGAGGGCTGGGGACACAGCTCAGTGACAGAGCTCCTGCCCGAATGTGCAAGACACATACACAGCTTTCTCTCCCTCACCCCAATAAAGGACTAAAACTAGAAGGTAGTCACCACCTACATTACTAGACTTGACTATTCTCAATCTGAGAGCATATAATGGTTGGGGTTAGAAACTAGAATGAGGGTTTTGTCTTACCTGTCCCTGCATGACATTTCTCAGCTGCAGGTAGATCCTGGCTTCAGAGCCTCTCAGAACAAAACCGCACATGTTATACGCACGCGCACACACACAAAGACACATATCCACACATAGACACAAACATGTACTCCTGCATTCATAAACATAAGCACACTGTATTAGTTAGGTTTCTATTGCTGTGATAAATTACATGAGCAAAAGCAGTTTGAGGAGGAAAGGGTTAATTTTGCCTTACAGTTTACAGTCCTTTGTGAGGGGAAGTTGGCAGGGACCTGGAGGCAGGAACTGAAGCAGGGCCAGAGTAAAGCTGCTTACTGGCTTGTTTTCTATGGCTTGCTCAGCTTGCTTTCTTAAACAACCCATGACCACTTGTCCAGGGATCAGTCATTAATCAAGAAAATACCCCTATAGACTTGCCTACTGACCAATCTTATGGAGATGTTTTCCCAATTAGGAGTCCTTCTTCCCAGATATGTCTATATTTGAGTCAACCTGACAAAAACCAACCAACACACACACACACACACACACACACACATGCGCCTGCGTGCACATATAGGCTCAGAAACATGCATACACACTAACATGTAGTCTTACATATGTACACACACATGCACTGGAACACCTACAGTGTACACTAATAATATTTATGTGTGGCCAGTCTTTTGGCGGCCTTTTGAGAGCAAGAAATCAGAAGTACAGTATGCCCTTACTTTCTTGAGGGATGCATCGATGTCGCTGAATCTCTTTCTCTCTCTCTCTCCCCCTTCTCTCTCTCTCTCTCTCTCTCTCTCTCTCTCTCTCTCTCTCTCTCTCTGTCTCTCTCTCTCCCCTCTCTCTCTGGTGATGGGAGTTATATTGAATTGGATGAGGTTATTTGTATAAATAAGTTCACAGGTATTCAGAAGTGGGTGTCCCTTGCTCACCTATTATAGGACTTATCCTGTGCATATCCTGAAAGATGGTGTCAGTTGCTGGAACGGATGTGGATGGCTCCAGCCACACCACTTTCTGTTAAGCTGTCGCACCTGCTGTGCAGCCTGCATCCGAGAATGTAGCGAGGTGGTCAGGATAGATGACACAGAGACCGGTCAGTTACTTTAAGAAAACTTTATGTTCCCCAAGTCGGCTTAGGAGAACTCCCCAAGAAAAAACGCTTCCCTTTTTAAAGACTTCTGCCATCCATACACACACAATTCTCCAACTGAGCTCTCACACACCTCTCACAGCTCTCCCTGACTTCTCACCCTCCTGGCTGGTGGTTTAATCTCCGGCCCCAGAATCGGGGAGACACAGCAGGGAGCAGGAAGAAGCATCTAGCTGTAGGGGGGATCAAAGTCATGGTGTTTCAGTGAGTGAGCCCTTATTGGAGCCCTATCAAGAGCTTTATAGCACTGAATTGTTTTCAGTAAACATTATCTCACAGTTGCCTGCTCCCAGGCCTAAGGGGAAGTGGGTCTCTGTTCAAGGTCTGGTGTCCCCACATTAAGTTAGGAAGCACCGGTCGTACTCCAATTCTCCAGCCAGTTTTTTCTGAGTAGATTTCTTGCCCTAGAATTTAGCTGCAACTTGGTTTTTACCTGAAACTCAAGAAGCTAGATCTCAGCATCTCAAGTTAGCAAAATGTGGTTCATCTCAGCCCCAGGGACATACCATGTTATTTGGGGAGTAGGCTGATATGTTCTCCTTAACATCAGGTAGTGTCTGGGGGGGGGGAGAGAAGAGAGAGAGTGTCCTTCCTGGTGGCAGGATATTTGTGGTACCAGGATTTAGTTAAGTTGACATATATTATCCAGACTACATGATTTTGAAGCCTGGCTTCATCTAGTGAGGTTGAAGCTGAGTAGGAGGCAGGTCCCCAGGAGGCACAGGTGTGGAGGCTCAGCATTGGGCTGGTGGCACCTAGTTGGGGTGATTAGAGAAGGAGCATCCATAAGCCTAGAAACACTGCAATTCATGTCTCCAGCCAAGAGTATGTTTCTGTGTGATGAAGCACTCTAGAAGCCAGTTAAACAAGCTCTAGACCCTGTAAGAGGCTAGCAAAGGCGTGTACAGGCTGTTCAGAGGATAAGAGAACAGGTTGTCATGTTCAGGAAAAGCTTCCCAGCCCTTCTTAGGAAAAATGTAAATTACTGTTATAGCGTGATTTCGTTTTCACTATCACATTGTACGGGAATCGACTCACACCCATTTGGGATGACTGTTGTAGAGAGACACCTGCTATTATGTATGTAGATGAGAAGTGCCCACTATGGACCTGGCAGGTCGTCTTCTGGCAAGGCTCTGTACATGCGTACTCCGAGGTGTGGACTGAGCCAGGTCATGCCTACTCTCTGAAGCATTGTTTGTGGTGCTGCATTTTCAGGACTTGGAGAGTCTACTTACTGAACAGGCAGCAGAACAACAAACCACAAAGCAGCCACGCACCAGAACTAGAGGAACTTTTTAAAAAATTGATAGGAAGGTCAAGGATTGAGAATTTAAAAAAAAATCTTAAGTGTGGAAAACATGCTTAGTTGGCTCGGTTTGTGTTTAAAAAAAGGTAAAACAGGCTTTAACACATGGCTCCTGTTTTGTATACATGCAGGCACAGAGAGAAAATGCAATGTTTGCTAGTGAGGAGAACGAGGCAGCAGCGAGAGAGCTTTGCACTTGAAGTCATTTTGTGAATCTTTTGATTTTGAATCACATTAATTCAGCCAACCTTTTAGAGGGTGCCTATCAACACTGTGTCCCACTGACTGCCACAGCCACCGACTTCGAGGGGAGAGGTAAGGTGTGAATGTCACCTGGAACCGCTTCATCCCATGACATCCTACTCCGTCTTTCGACATCCACCAACATCCAAATAAATGTGATGCCTCAGGAGGTTGGGGTGCCCCTCCCGTCTACAATCCAGCTCCCATTCTATGGTGATGACTTCGAAAGAGTCGCCTGGGTCTGCAACTTGTTGGTGTGGCTCACAGGCCACATTAACTCAGGCAAATCTCGTAGTGTGTGGGAACCTCAGCTCCCCACCTCTAAGATGGAAGACTGTTGTCACACTGTGACTTGGTCTCAGCCTCTCTGGTGGAGACTACTGTCACACCATGGCTTGGTCTGGGCTGCTCTGGTATATGGCATTCTTAGTTTTTAGAGCCCTAACTCATTGGCCGTCATCTTTCCCATGGCCCTCAGCATTGGTGTCAACTAACCGCTGCCAGAACCACCGTAAAGCTGGCTAAGGTTACCTCAGCCTGAGTTCCACTAGAACCCTCTGGCCTGTTAATTTTTTTAAATCTCTCTCCTGGTATCGCTCCATCTTTAGGACAGTCAGGTTTTTTTTTTTTTCCTCATTTTTTGAGACATTTTTTTGTGTAGCTTTGGAGCCTGTCCTGGAACTTGCTTTCTAGACCTGGCTGGCCTCAGACTCACAGAGGTCCACCTGCCTTTGCCTCCTGAGTGCTAGGATAAAAGGTGCATGCCACCATTGCCCGGCAGGATAGTCAGTTTTGTTCTCGCTTATACAATGCAGTCCTGAACAGCCCCTCTCTCACGACCAGGCCTGCTAGGGATTTTTAGGTAGCCTTCTCTTGCAGGGGACAGAAAGGGAATGATTTTGATGTTGGAGCTTGCAAGCTACAATGTCTGGATCACCAGGGACATGGCAACAATCACACTTGCCTGGGAGGAATATTTGTGTCAAGTGCCCAAACATAGGTGAGGCTTCTTCCCCATCTTAGCTCAGCACTCCTGTAGCTGGCCTGGATTGCAGAGCCCATCCGAGTGCGTCTGGGACGATTTACAGTCACGGGCATATAAAACGTGCCTGTGTCCTGCATGGTGTTTAGTTAACAACCATCAGGACCTGTAACCAAGTGACTTCAAAGGCTCTGGGGTTGGCTAGTTTATAGTCAGTCTGAGGAATGACAGGAGGCTCAGGTTTACGTGTATTCACATACTTTAATGGGAGAAAAATTCATACAGAGTGAATCGCTTAGTTGCTATGGGGAGATAGAATGCTTTTTGAAAATGTTCCTCTTTAAAGTCAGAGATAAATCACTTTCAAGGTGGAGTGGGAGCAGAAGGGGGAAGGAACCCAGACCGGGGAGGCTGGATTTCCCCAGACATTATTGCTACTTGTGTGCCTAGAGCCCAGAACAGCTGGTGAGTGTGAGAAACTCGAGAAAGGGCTCTTTCACTTTAATCCAACCTGCTGCTTTCCTGGGCCCGTTTTACTGTAATTCTGGGCGGCCAAGGGACAAAGGCTGTTGACTGATACGTGCAATTACCGCCTCTAATACTGCTCTCAACTGTCGGCCCTGACTGACAAAAGTGGATGAGGTTTAGTTAAGGTCTGAGAAAACGCTCCATTAATAAAAGCCATGCCCATCCTGACGTGCCCATCCTCCCTCAGACCTTGTCGTCTAGTTTCTGGGAAGATAAGGTCTGCTGATGGAGAGCAGAGAAGTAGTGTTCGACTTGGACATGCCAGACACCACGGCAGCCTCACAGAAGTTCTGCGCAGCACACGTGGGTAACTTGCACCTCAAGTGAGGAGAATGAATTTGGATCACTGGACAGGGTTTCCAAGAACCAGAGGAGCTTTTAAAAGTTGAACCAGTTTTTTTTTTGGTGTCTTCCCTCCATCAGTTCCGTGTTAGTAGAGTAGGGAGGAGTTCACTTCCGGCTCATTATCTTTCTACAGATCTCAGGCCTTCACACCCTGGTCATTCCCATGTTGAAAAGCTGCAGATGGAAACCTTTTCCCACTCAGGAGGTGGGGGCAGTCTGGACAGACTCAGAAGCAGGAATGAAAATAGTGAGAAGGTCACCATGGCCACCTCCTCTACCTGTCCACACTGACTATAGACAAGGCCTCTGAATGGGAGACAATGCCCTGTATACAAATGTCCCTTGAATAGCTGAGGCAGACTCTGTGGGAAGATGCCCTAAAAGGAAACATGAGCTGTGGCTGGGATAGAATGCCCGTTTGACAAGCTTGTGCTGCTGGCCTTGGTGCAGACAGATCAACTGGAGTCATGTCACCATGACTTGGGAGCCGTGGTCAGCAGACCCCAGGGTTCCTTCCACTATGCAGGGTGTGAGAAGCCAGCTGGGTCAGGGAGGCTGTGGCTTATCATCCACAGGCTTAGACAAAGGTAAGTGAGGGCAGAAGACGTTTACCCTCATCTACCTCAATATAGCTTTTCTCCCTCTCAGATTTCCAAGGTGCTTGTCTTAGTTAGGTTTCTATTGCTGTACACAGACACCATGATCACAGCAACTCTTATAAGGAAGACATTTCATTGAGGTGGCTCACTTAAAGTTCCAGTTCATTATCATCGTGACAGGGAACATGGCAGCATGCAGGCCAACTGAGGTACTGGAGCTGAGAGTCCTAACAGGTAGTCAACTGAGTCACACTGAGGGAAGCTTGAGCAATAGAGACCTCAAAGCCCACCCCACAGTGACACACTTCCTCCAATGAGGCCACACCTCCTGACAGCGCCACTCTCTCTGGGGGCCATTTTCTTTCAAGTCACCACAGAGCCACAATTGGTTTTTGTTGTACAGTATGCCACAAGATGGAGCCTCCATGCTATTTGCGGCAGCAGCCCTGCGGCAAAGGTCGTCGGGGAGTCTGGATGAATGCCAATGGCTCTGAGGATGCACACTTGTTTGGAGCATCAGAACCAGGGCCCAGCACATGGTTTCTTTCAAGTTTCTGCAGATTGAGGGAACTGTCCTCTCTTAGGGGAAAGCCTGCCTTTACCTTGCTCCCTCTGCTCTCTGTAGGGGCCTTGGAGACTGGTAACCAGGCTCCCATGACGACAACACCGGAACTTCCCACTGCTCTGCTGCTTTGAGAGATGCATGGCATTGGAAGCGTGGGACACAGTCAGGGAAGCACATATCCCTGCCCCTCAGAAGAGAAGGGTGAAGTGCAGGGAGGGAGGTGAATGCTCAGTGCAGGTGATCCCACAGCCTGCACAGGTCAGCGGGGGGCATTCTGGAAGAAGAAGCAGGTTCCTCTACCTGAACCCCCAACGGTTCATATTTACATTGTCAACCCAGAGAATGGGGTCCATGGTCATACATGGTCACTGGATTCTGGGAAGAGAGAAGCGTAGCAATACATTTGTCTTTAACCTCCAATTGAGAAGACAGGACAGAAGAGAGTGCTCATCCCTTTTTGAGACACAGCTGTCCCCAAAGAAAGGGATATAATGTGGGAGGCCACGAGACCGAAGAGGTTGCTGCACGGGAGGCTGGTGTCTTCTTCATGTAATCCCTTTCGCGACCACTCTGTTGTAGACTAACCTAGTTTAGAACTTCTCACAAGGCAAGAGGACTTCAGACCAAATGGTTCCCTACCCTGACTTCTTTACTTCTTTATGGCACACAGACACCGTTGCACCATGTTGTGCAAGGGGCAGTTGCTAGGGAACTAGGGTCCAGTGATGTAGCATCGGTGGGGGATGGTGGGTGGTGTGGCCTGGTCACGTAGTCAGACTTATAGTGGGAGATGGTGCTGCGAGGTGATTCAGTAGGAAGAGGTGATGATCAGGTAAAGACATCAGTGATGAAGGACTCACCTGCTGCCACTCATGTCACAGACAGCACACACACAGCAAATGGAAAGTCCACACAATGGCGTGAGTAGAGATAACCTGAGTCACACTTGAGCCGGGACTGAAATGTGGGCTGCTAGTCCCTCCTTGTGAACTTCTGATCCTCAGTGGGGAGTCCTTGGAAACAGACCTGCTGTGGAGACCATGATCCCATATGGCTTCTGTAAGAAGGGCAGGAGACTTCCACAGAGGGAGCAATACAGAGACAATTCTGTCTCTACTTGTTACCCTGTTAGACAGCTGTGCGTGCCTCCAGGTCACTAACCCAATGCCTTCTTTTTAGGTAAAACACAGGTGTTGACACCACAACCCAACACAATAAACAGTTATCTCTAAGAGTAGGACTCAGTGCCCACATTTTCCCATTAAAAATCAAACGACATTATACTCACATTAAGACTTTAGACAGTCTAGAAGAGAAAGTTCTGGATCCCTCCACTATCTTTCAGCCTTTCTTCCTAAAGGCATGTATTCTAAACTGCTCTGTGATCCTTTCTGGATCCTTCTAAGATTCTCTTTGTGCATGTTTCTCTGTGTGTGTGATGCATGTACACAGGAGCATGTGGGCGTACACTCACATGGTTACCATCAGGAGCTACGTGAGGACGTTTGGTATTCTACTTTATCACTTTCTGTCTAATTTCCTCTAGATGCTGGTGGCACACAAGCCCAGGTATCCTCCTGGGTCTGTTCCTCCCAGCTCTGGAATGACGGGTGTGACCCACCAGATGTTCACACGGATGCTCAGATCCAAACCAAGCCACATATTTACCTGGCAATACTCTCACCCACGGAGTCCTCTCCCCGTTCCCCATCTCTGAGTCTTTTAATTTCAGAGCTGATGATCAAGTGTACTGTTGGGCCTGAGCCCTGCTGTCTGTCTGAGGGATGTGTCTTTGGTGAGATGCCGGTCAGGGAGGGATGGGGAAGCTTGAGTACTGAGGAGAAGCTTAGGGTACTAGGCAGAGGGTAGAGCTGAGGAAGCATGCTTGAAGAGCAGTTTTCTGTGGACTGAGGAGGGTCAATGGTCGGAACTGCCCCAGGATCAGTAACGAAATGTTTCCCTGAATGACTTGCAGAGGCCTCGATCCTGGAGGACAGGGTGAGCTGGTACCGGGAGGGGAGCTCTTTTGATGCTTCGTCGAGGGGACTTCCTTTGGCACTTTGAAGACAGCAGGCAGAGAAACAGTACTTGCGGTGTGCCCTGGGGTACAGGTCTGAGTACACAGCAGGTGTGGTGGCTGACTTGAGGGAGGAAGATAGGCTGAAACCTGGTGTAGCGTGAAAGTGCTAACCCATGGCAGAGAAGTGCTGGGAGGGTGGATTTGAACTAGGCACTCTTGGAGTTTCTTTTCAGACCTAAGGTCAGGACCTCATTATCTACAGGTGTGAATCTCCTAAGCTTTTTCAGCCTCCAGATTCTGGAGAGGGGGCCAAAGTGACCTGTCACAGACAGAATCTCTCACAGTATAAATTTCATTGCCTTTGGTAAACACTGGTTTATAATTTGTCACCTGCTTGTTTTCTAGAGTCCTCCTGGATGCCACAGGAGAAGAGGTGGCAGGCTGTACTCCTCTATGAGACTCAGGCTATCCTGGCTGAGAAGTCCAGATTTTATGATTGTCCCTACTCTGTGGACACACATGCACGTGACGCGGCTACACTTCTGGAGACTTGGATCTGAGAAGAGCCATCCTGTATCGGTCTCTTTATGTGACAAGGCTGACCCAGACTGGCATTCAGAGTGCTTTAGCTTAACGGTTCTACAGCAGAAACGCCTGTCAAAATGTCTTAGCAACAGAGTTGCTAGAGACCAATACCAGTTTTGAGCTCTGCTGGGTATCAGGTGTGAATTTTGGCTCCATTAGGACAAGGTAGAGCTTTTTGACTTCCCCCCTTCTGTTTATCATCAGTGTCTCTCCCGAATGATGACAGTGGTTTCTGAGCACCTAGTAAGCATGAGGGCTGAGCATCTCATTTTACAAATGGGCCAACTGAAGTACCAAGATGACATTCCTTGTGCACTGGGGATCATGGAGCTCAGGACTTCAGTGGTTATGACCAGAGTGCTGTATATAACATGTGGGTTGTTATCTCCTAAGGGCTAGCCTGTGCTTTGTACAACACATGGGTTGTTATCCCCCAAGGGCTAGCCTGTGCTTTGGTGTAGTCCCTTGGCTGTATACAGTAACCTACACCCTTCCCCCCCACCCCCCACGGCTCTGTAGATTCCCAAGAACTGTATGGCTGTGTCAGTTCTTCCTGAACTCTATTGGGCATGGACGTTCACAGTTCAAATACCAGGCACAAGTTCTCTAAGAATTGGGTCGGCACTTTGCTACCTCTCTTGACAGTTTCTCTCTTGGCAGCATGCCTTCTTCTGACTTGGTCCACAGACCCAGATCCCCTTTGGTTTTCAGATATTTCACAAACTCCACTGCTTCATAAGATTCCTAGTTGCAGAGTTTTGTGGGACTTGTCAACTTTGTTGAGCAATGGAGGCAGCACAGCAAATCTTAAGCTTGAAGATGTACTCGCAGTACTGAGGTGTAGGGCTCAGAGAGTGCTTCTGGTACAGTGAAGTGTCCTCAGCCAGCTGAGCCTTTCTAATGAGCCATGGGATTGCTGCTGCTGAGATCCATGCCCACGGCTACCCAAGGCCAATGCTTTTCCTCTTTTCCGATCATCAAGAATAGGAAAGAATCGGATCAGTCTCAAAAGGGAAGGTTCTGGTGCTGCACCAAACCAGGGGTCCCAGGTTAATGGGTTCAATGTGGGGCACTGTAAGCTAAAAGGGCGGGTTTGTGGATTTCCCTGGAGACGGGTGCTAGGCAGGGAGGTTACCAGGAACTCCTGGTTCATTGAGGTACCAGGAATCTCCTGCTTGGGTCTCCTTGCTGTGTATACTACCTTGTGTCCTGGGGCTTCAGGCTGAGAAGCCTCTAGAAGAGGAACGATCCTTTAGGCATGGACAGGTTTGTTAAAGGTAAAGACATGATCCATTTGACCAAGTAGTCATACAAGAGGATATGGAGGGGACCCCCTCAGTTCCCAGGAATGTGGGAAGACTTCACAGGGAAATGAGGGTCTAGGTAGAGAGGAGGGACCAGAAAGGAAAACAGTGGCAGCAGAAGACAGCCCATGTTCAGAAAACCAAGGCTAGACATTGTATTGTGGGCACTAGGCATGTACCAGGGCACATCATGGGAAAGCAATGGGGAAGTAAAGCTGAGGGCAGCATGTGGCTGGCTTCAGATGTCAAAGTTTACCTCAGCACCGCCCCCTCAGAGTCAGATCCCTGCCTTTGGATGTAATCCCTTGTCTCAGACTCTAGACTCAGCCCAGGTGCTCTCAGGAGATGTCAGTCTCCTGAAAACTCTGGATCTCTTGTTCCATTCCTACCCTGGTCACCCGGTTTGGTTTGTCTTCTTTCATATTTCAAGGACTTCCTTGAAGTGTGGGAGAGTGTTATCTTCTTGCCATCTAATGGTAGCACACAGTAAGCACTCGGTACATTTTGATGGTGGACTGTCTCCAGTTTAGCATTCATGTGTTTTTCAGGCAGTGAGGAGTCCGTGGAGCACGGCTCCAGGAAGAGTAGAGGGCAGTTCTCCTGTTTGCATTTTCAAGGCTGATCCAGGTCTGCTTTTAGAGCGAGCCAGCACTGCAGTGGTCTCCCTGGCAGCCTGTAGCCTCTGGTCCCTGTACTTTGCTTGCCTTACAAGGAGTAGAGCCAACCCTTGGGAGTTTTGTTATATAGCAAGACAAATAGGATATTTGACTGGCACTACCCAAATGAGTCATCACAACCTTAGTGTAATTGCTCACACCGCTACACTACACATGATCTACTTTTCCAAAAGGGTAATGTTGGACCTGAACAAGGAACTACTGAAAGTCGTTGGGCTCTAGTTATCAGTCCTATTTACATGCTACAGCTTCTGTACCTGGGCACTCATTTGAGCTGCTGGGAAAGCTGCATTGATTTGCAGAAAGAGATTGAAGTGTGTGTGTGTGTGTGTGTGTGTGTGTGTGTGTGTGTGTATGTACGTACAGGAGGCAGAGGAGCAGCAAGCACACAGTGCAGACAACTGCATGGGGTCCTGACCATGCAGTGTTAATCGCAGAGAGCTTCAGCAGAGCTGGTCCAGGTGGGAGCCGTGGTCCAAGTCTGTTTGACATCTTCTTTTGAAGAGTGCTGAGACCAGTCCGACCCTGATGCTGTGGGGTGGTGTGGGCAGTCTCTCCAGACCTTAGCATCTGTGCATCTTGGAGCTGAGCTTTAGGGCTAGATTCTTTTACTGTCTAAGCATAGTAGGTCACATATTCATCTTTGCTCATTTCTTCAGTGATGGTCTCTGAAAGTGCTACTTCCATTTTAGGCTGTGAAAAATCAGTCATCCTCACTGGGCAAGCCCTGCCCCCCATCAAGATACAAAGGGACTGTACCATAGGAGGGGGTGAGTGCGTTCCTGATATGGTGGCAAAGGGGAGAATGTATCATTCAGCACATTTGACTGTACGCATCCATAGAGTGAGCCGCAGGCACAGGCTGGTAATAAAACTCGGTCCACAATGGCGTTGCCCACAAGAAGTTCACAGTCTAGTGCAGTTGACAGGTGTGCAACAGTTGCCTAAAAAGGAGGAATGTTTGACATGTTGGACCTGGGGAGGTCAGGGCATGTGTACTTTCAATGGAACATGAAGGATGAATCGTGTTGTTTTCCAGGGTGGACCATTGAGGAGCAGGAATACTAGGGAGGCAGGGCTAACGTAACCACAGATAGAAGTAACTAGAGCGTGAAAGCCACATGTGCCAAATAGAGTGCATTGGTTTAGGTTCTGGGTGTGTTAATATGCAGTCAGCTGCAAGGGGCAGGAGCCCATACTCATCTGTCATGCTTCAAGGTGGGCCAGTCACAGGTGACTGAATTCAGTGAGTCAACTCTGTCATTGAAGACCTAGTGTTGTCCAGTGCTCAATGGTAGTGTATTTTCTTCACAGAGTGTGCCTTAGCCATAAAACAAATGGGAGATACTTGTCTGCTCGCTTTCATTAGTCTCTTTTCCTTCAGTGAGGAAAATCTGTGAGAAACCCGACACCAGTCAGGTTCATGCTCAGGTCTCAATGGCAGAGGTGCATCTCAAATCCTACTCAGTCAGTCACTGGCAAGGAATATGCACCTACCATGTCCCATCCCAGGGTGTGTGGACCTGCTCCTTCTGAGCTTCTGTCCAGGTGGAGGGTGCTGGTACAGAAGCAGGCCTCCGACAGGGAGCAGAGGTCAGGAACTGTGGGCTGCTGAGTAACGGTTTGCTGGGGTAGATGATGGACACCCTTGGAGAGGGGTGGGCCACAGGGACCAGGAGCATTCTGTCATGTCAAAAGAGAAAGCCCCATTATCATTGTACAGTTCAGTTTTGTCGGTCAAGCTGAAGGCAAACGGTGTCATGAGAAGTCAAGCATCTCCATGCACTGCTGCCTCTCTACTCTAAGGCCATGTGGTTCTGGGTGAATGGGGACATTTTAGGGCAGGGAGGGAACCAACACAGTAGGGGTTTCCCATTGTATTTGCCAATATCCTCCTCACGGACTTCAGCAAGCCCAGACTTCTTGGAGAGTTTGAGGGGACCGTGTAGTCCACTTGGAGGGACAGTGGTGATCAGAGTGCAAGGCAGAGTTGGGCCCGCCTCTGGAGATGGATGTTCAAGACCTTCATTTTACAAGTGAGGAAACTGGGACCCAGACAGGTGGAGAGATGCATGGAGCCTGGGCTGGCACTTTCTCTTTGTGCTGGACTGCTATCTAGGATCACTCTCTATTGGCATCTATTGTGGAGCTTTAAATGTCCTAGACGAGTCTTACACTCTCTTGAGGAGTGGAGCAGGGATTGAGGCGGGAGGAGCAAGAGGGGATGGAGCCGGATCTGGGATTGGTATGTAAAATGAGAAAAGATTGCTTTAAAATAAAAATATTGATAAAAACCAAAATAAATAAAATTGTGGTCCATGGTGTGTGTGTGTGTGTGTGCACGCGGTGTAGACAATTCAGGAGAGCACAATGCTTTAGCTCCTTCACTTGTGTCTTAGTGTGAGCGGTGTCTCTCTTTCCTTTTGAAGACACCTGGAAGCTGCAGGGCACTGGGTAAGTGGAGGGGTTCTTTTTTCATTCCTTTTTGGGGAGGTTTCTGTGGACACCTAGGTGACGAAGACTTGAGCTCAGGTTGAGCTTTCTGAACACAAATGAGGGGCAGTTGCCATGTGTTGTCTGCAGGAAGACTCTTAGTATGTTTTTCTTGACAGTCTATCCTTCCATTCACAGCCGCCCTTCACCCTACCCTGGCCTGTGCACTGTGTTGACTTACCATGACCAGACATGTACCATGGCTAATGCAACCTTGATAACTTGCCTTTGGAGACAGAACATTCCTTGGAACAGAAGACACAAAATAAGTAAATAAGTAAAATAAGAAGACTTGGTAAACACAAGGCCAAGGCCTGAAAACCAAGCTCTTTCTGATGAGGTACCATGTGGAAATCACCCCAACTTTCTTTATTTCAACTTGGCTTTCAACACCATTCTTAAAAAATACATATGCACATATATACATATAATATATGTTATGGTATTATGTCAGGCATCATAAAACATTGTTGCATGTAGAAGGTGGGAAGAGACTGAGCTAAATATGTATTGATGAGAGCATCCTTGCTATGGCGTCATAATCTGTTTCCATAAAACAGTGAAAAGAGAAAAAAAACTATGTGCTCACATATGTGCCTTGTGAGACTATTTCAGCCTGGAGAGACATGGAAAGAAGTGTAACAATACATACAGAATGAATATCAGTACTATGCCTGATGGAATGAGTTGTCGGTGTGGATCTGTGTGGGCCTGGTTGGGAGGTGCTGGAGGAATAGAGATGGGGAGGAACAGGAAAGGAATTGAAGGAAGCACTTGGAGAAAGTGAGCTGACAGCACTGCAGGCAAGAAAATCAGCTGCTGGTGCAGAGGACCAGTGTGTGATCCCCATCACCCTCATGGCAGCTCTCAACCATCTCTAATTGCAGTTCCAGGGGATCTGACGCCCTCTTATGGCCTCCTCAGGCACTGTACAAATGTAGTTCACAGACATACATGCAGGCAAAACACCCATAAGAATAAAATACCAAGACAACAAGAGGGACTGGTCCTCACGCATTCCTAAGAGGATGCTGATCTTGGCTGCTCAGCTTTACAGAGTTGCGAGGAGCCTTGAGCTGGGGTGTGTTATAGTCCTTTAAATTGAAGGTGCTGGCTCACTGGAGCTGCTGTCCCCTTTCATTTTCATCTCACCTCCTTTGTCGTTTCTTATCCACGGCTTGCATTCTCCTGCCTTCTTCATGTCAGTAATGGCTGAATTATAATTGAAAGTGTGTATATAATGTGCATAATTATATACACAATTATAGTAAGGTTAGTTTGAAATTACACAGTTTGTTGTGAAATATAAATATCCACCTGAAAGACTCTGCATTCCCATCTTGTGATAAGAAGGGGCTCCCTGTGCAGGATTTCCATCTTGTGATAAGAAGGCACTCCTCTGTGCTGGGGAGAGAACTCAGAACAAGTCAGTGTCGGCCACCATTTTAAATTCACAGCTTGCAGACTCTTTCCAAGGACCATGACTCTGGTTCCCTACAACACCACTGTGGTGCTTTCTGCTGGTGGATAACACTGAGAGGTCTCCTCCAGCCCCCCCCCATGGTATCATGAAACCAATAGTGCTTGTTAA